AGAACGTTGACGCCCCAGTCACGAGATTCGAATCGCAAGTCCGCCTCCTCTCTGAAAGGAACATTAAAACATAAGCATTAGATAGTCCCCTCGTCCATTCAGCACCGTCCCCGGTGCTACCAATTATGAGCTCCTCCCAAAGTTACCATCCAGTGGTTTCCTGTCTTCCGTCAGGGCGTAAATCTCATCTTCATATCCAACCGGTGGTGACCCTTCCTAGGGTCGCATCTTATTGTTGTGAATGGTTACTAGGTGGGTACGTAGCTGTGTGTTGCGGACGAGGTAGTTTGTAGGTGAGAGCGCTTTCACCACTCAAAATGGGTCCATAATCCATGGGTGATGGAACTTGCAATCTATTTAAGGCGGGGGAACCGGCCTGTACATCTGCTCTAAGTCTCATTCTCATAGACGTTCGTCCGGCTGTGCCAGTCGTAATATTCCTGCTTGATATAAGACAATCGTGAATGTTTGCGCGCGATGTTAAAAATTCTTCTTATGCCTTCTTTCAGACGCAGTATGTACTCTAGAACACTGCTGGATGCTTCGTCGGTGCTTAGCAGGAAGTTGTCGGATGGCGCTCTCATTTCACGACCTGTGAACATCTTGAACAGAGAAAAGCGCGTTGACGTAGGCACTGTGGCGTAGCTCTGCATGCGAGAAGAACACGCCCTAGGCTTCAATCCTAGTCACCTGGTTGTGCGTCTTTAGTGAAGGCCTTCAGTAGCTTGATCAGAGAGGGATTCGTTCTTTACACCTGGCCGTTGCCTTGTAGATGTCCAGGTGTCGTGCGTGTCTGAGATTTGGCAGGTCTTGCAAAGTTCAGTGAAGAGTCGGCTCTCGAAGCTAGGGCCTTGATCGATATGAACGGACTCAGGCACCCCATACTGGCAAATCCACCGATTGAAGAAAACTGACACAACCGTTTCAGCGTCTTGTGACTTCATGGGTTCTGCCTTACCTACTTTAGCAAAGTAGTCTACCATAACCAAAATAAATCGATTCCCTCTCTTGGTGGACGGTAAAGGACCCGTAATATCTATACCTACTCTTTCCCCTGAGAAACCGATGGGCATGGGTTGCAGGTGGTGCAATGGCTGTGGAACGAGGACTTTTAAAGCCGCAGCTTCGGCAGAAGTCTAGTACATCTAGGGTGAACGAAGGCCACCAGTATTTGTTGCTTGAGGCATCTAGCATCTTCTGTTAACCCACCTGTTTGGGTTGCTCATGTGACTCCTACAGAACTGTTTGCATTAATGAGCCAGGAACTACTAGGCGCTTAGGAGACTGGACACCTTCTTGGTATCATAAAACCTCATCCTCCAGAGAGAGTTTTGACCATTCTTGCCAGATTCGTCTGGCCGCCGTTATCTCTTCCGCTATAGGCTTATACGAGGATGCCAGAAACTCCTCCTATATCAGAGCCGTGTCAGGATCACTAGTCCGTGTATTTCTCCAATAGTGTTTGGTAGGGTCGCTCAAGAATATGGTGCACACCATAACGTTACCTGCTTTTGCTAAAAAATCGGTCTTCGGGGTAGTGCATTCGCATTACCATGCCCTTTTCCTTTTCGCTACTGGACTGTAAAACCATATTATTGCAGTTCTTCGTGCCAGAGTGCCTGATGGTCGGTTCTAACAATGAATATTCTCACTATCAGGTAATGTGCGAAGTGTCAAACCATTGAGTAGACAGCAAACAGCTCATGCTGCGTTGCACTTTTCTCTCTCATTTTTTACTGAGCCTTATACTTGCGTAGGCGATAACGTGTTCCTTTCCTTTTTTGTTCCTTTTTGAGAGTACACCACCCACGGCCGCGGTGCTCACATCCGTATTCAGTACGAACGGTGGAGCGCTCGATTCGAGGTTTGGCAGTGCTAGGATCGGCGCGGAGCAGGACATTCGCTTCAGTTCTTTAAACGCCTCATCGCGCTCTTTCTCCCACTTAAAATTCTCCTTCTTCTGCTTTTCAGTTAATGTATGCAGCGGGCTGGTGACCTTAGAGAAACTTTTAACAAAAACACCGGTAGTAATTTGCCAAGCCTAGGAAACCGCGGAGCTCCACCTGATCGGTTGGTGTCGGCCATGTCCTCACTTGCTTTGCGTGGTCTTCGGCGACCGCCACCACATATGACGAGGCTGTATGTCCCAGTAATGTGACTGAGAGCTGCAGGAAAGGGCACTTTTTCGGGTTTAAGGTTAATCCTGCGTCTCGTAGACAATCCAACATTAGTTTTAGGTTGGCTTTATGCTCTCGAATACATCCGCCAAAAATGAGAATATCATCGAGACAGATTATGCAATGCTCTGGGAATAGGCCGATCAGAGCTGTTTGAATCAGGCGTTGCAGAGTCCAAAGGTCATGGTTTGAACTCATAAAGCCCGTTTAGCAATACAAAGGTGTCTTTTCTTGGTCTACTTCTTCCACTTTCACTTGCCAAAATCCAGACTTCAAGTCTGGGGTAAAGGACCACTGCGATCCATGTAGGGAGTCTAGTGAGTCGTTTATGTGGGGCAAGGTGAACACATCATTCTTAGTTACAGCGTTCAACTTCCTATAGTCGATGTATAACCATAGACTGCCATCATTCTTTTTTACCAGTGTAATCGAAGAGGCCCATGATGACTTGGACGGTTTTATAACCTCGTCTTGAATAATCTCTTCAATCAGGCGCGTTACTTCTACTAGCAGGGATGGTGGAATACGTCTGAGCAGTTGCCAGATGAGTCTAGCTTCGCCAGCATCAATCGTATGCTTGACGATATTTGTCCGTTCCAGTTTTACACCCTGCCAAGAGGTGTTCGCGTACATAAGTAGGAGTTCACGGAGTTCTTTTATCTCATCATTGGAAATGTGGGTCAGTTGTACGCAAACGTCATCGAGATTGTTCATGAAAATGGCTGCAGCTTCAAAAAGGGTGTTGCAGATGTTATCTGCGCCATCTATCGGGAGCAAAGTCTCTCCACTGGCCCCACTGACTCAGTGTGAGGAAAAGGTTCCTTATGCCAAATTTAGGACAGTTTTGATGTAGCATAGGAAATCAGCATCAAGTATCACGTTCCAAGAAGGTTCTGAACATATGATGAATTTCACTGTCCAGGTTTCCTACCCTATGCAGACCTCTAATGGCGCTTCTCCTTTAATTAGCATTCCCCTTCCTTCTGCTGAATGCAATTTCATGGGAGGGGAGAGGATCTTAACCATGTTACAAAGGGTAAAGGCTGGGGGGTTAACTATTGACCTAGCTGCCCTAGAGTCGAGAATAAAACTGCGGGAACGTTCCTCAAGTTTACCAGGAACTCACATACAAGAACGGAAACCACTTGGGAGCAGATAGGAAAGCGAAAAGAAAGGCTCACCTGGTCCAGAGGCATAGCACGGGGAGGCACGATGAGAGAGTGTTGACTTTGACCTGTTTTGAGGCTTCTGGTAGATCAGGGTCGCCCGGAGTTCTTACCACTTCATGGTTGCGAGCTTAACCAGTTGGCTTAGAGAGTTGGTCTTTATGTCGCAGAGCTTCTCAACCAAAGCGGGAGGTCAGACTCTGTGTCTAAGCCAAACCGTTATCTAGTTGCCGACCTTGTTTGGAGGACAGCCACTGAAAGCACGTTCCGCCAAATGTTGAAGGTTCTTAGCGTACTCGTCAGCCTTTTGGAAAAGAAGAAGTCTCTGGCAAGGATTTGTTCTTCCCGATCGATAACAAGTTGAGCCAACACATCGTATTATTGATCAATGTCGGTATCATAGGCGATGCCGGTGTCGACTGCGGCCAAAAATAAATAATGGAAAGAGCGCGGAGAATTAGGGGTATCCTTTGGCACTGAGGATAGAGATGGAGGTTGGAGCTAGCAGTTTCCAGCCAGCTTTCATAGTTCACGTCATCTTCGAAAGGGGGGAGTTCCGATGGCGCTGCCACCAATGTAAGACGAGGCTCGTAGATCTCCTCTTCCACGGTTCTTATACTCTTAGAACACCCAGGCTGACCCGACTTTAACAGGTTTATGGGATACGGAGATGGGGGAAGCGTGGTACAAGCTTACGGAAGTGTGGACACACGAACCCCTCT